AAACTTCCTCTGATATATGGCTAGTAAGAGTTGAGAGTATAGTAGAAGGTGAGGTGGAGACACCATGCTAGGAGCCTGGAGACTCTGGTTCTAGTGCCTGGTATCCTGAGTCACTGGTGACCTTGGAAAGCCCTGAAGCTAATGTTGTGGGCCTTCTGTCTGTGGCTCTGGGAGTCTGTTTTTTTAACTCTGGGGACAGGAGAGGGCTCTGCCCAAGACAGGCTCCTGGGACCCAGTAAGACTCCTGTGCCCCTCTCCACCGTGATCCACACCAACCACTGATTTGAGTGCCCTTGGCCTGGAGCCTCCCTTTCCCACAGAACCCTCTCAGCTGGCTCTTGCTCAAGCTCTCTACCCTGATCCCCCGACTCCCATTACTGCATTATTTTATTTCCTCAGAGTCCTCGGCTAACACTGAATGACATGATCTTGTTGTCTATTCCCCTGCAAAAGCAGGGTCACACCTGAATTCCTCATCTCGGTTTCTCCAGCCTGCAGCAAGGTGTCTAGCACATAGTGGGTGTTTAGGAAATGTCTACTGAGGACAAAGACTGGGCATATCCTAGGCCGAGGAGACAGAGAAGGCAGGTTTGGATGAAGGTTCTTCCTCTGCCCCCAGACTGTTCAGGGTAGACTCCCAACCACCAGAGAAGGGAGCAGTCTGCAAGAGCAATGAGATGTGCTCAGGAAATATCCCCATGGAGGGCTGCTTCAGGCAGCCGAGACTGCCAGGCTAGGGAGAGTGTTGGACAGCCTGGATTTAAGGAAGGCCACTGGCACAGATGGGGACACCATGTGACCTCTGTTTGGCTCAGCCTGTGAAGTCAATACCTTTCTCCCAGCCTCAGTCTCCCACCCCCAATCCAGTAAAGGAAATGGGTAGGTGGAGGTTTGAGTGGCCTCTCAAGAGTGTGACCAAAGGTTCCAGGGCCCTTTTCTATTGCATCTGCCACCTCTCAGCCCCCTGTTCAGGGTGTCAGGCCATTTCAGTGGTCCTGACCAATTACTTATTGACAAGCGTTAACCTGATAGCCAAATGCCATCTCTTGCCAGAAATAAGCACATTCTGAGAAGAGCTGATACCTTCCTCTATCCAAGGCCAGGAGGCAAGGTGCGGCTGAGGAAGGACGCTAAACAACATGGACCTGGAATTCCAGGTCCGGCCTAAGTCTAGGTGGGAGACCTCAGCAAATTACTTTTCTTCTCAAAAACTGTTTCTTTAACTGCAAAATTGTGTGAAGTGCTGTCTACCATTGAGGTGGATACAAAATCCAGCCCAGAGAGCTAAATGTGAGTCTGACACCCAGTAGGTGTTCAGCAAATGTTATTCCCTCCCCACCTGCCCCTCCCAGTCTATAGAACCTGGGGCTGACTATGCTGGCTCCCTTAGTATGGTAGCCTGGATGGGCTGGGAAGCAGGCTGTAGTGTTCACCACAGGCTCTGCCCCTGCCTGGTCAGACCCTCCCTGAGCCTCAAGTCTTCTCATCTGCAGAATGAGATGCTGCCACTAGCTCATCTGAGGGGCTGTTCTTGAGGGCAGGTTGAGCACCCTCTTCCGAAGTGTTGTGACAAGCTCCATGGATACAGTGGAGCTGCTGCCGCTATGCATAGCTAGTCTTCATCCTTCACCAGGCAGACATATATGAAGTGCTTACTGTGTGCCAGGTCTTGAGGACACAGTGAGGGTCATGACAAAGTGCTACCTTGAAAAGACATTATATTCTTGAGGGAAAGTAGGAATGAGTGACCAGGAGCAGACAGGGAATGGTAAGGACTGTGAGGGAACTAAGGCAGGAAGAAGTGGGAACTTCCCAACTTTATCAATTACAGAGCTTTTGTCACTCATGATTCTTTAAGTATGCTCTGTGGGTGAAATCGTGCCTACCTTCCCCTCCCTGTTGTGTTGGGTCTGAGCTATTCACTGATAAAGAATCAGACAGCAATGCTAAGCAGTTTTCCCATGGTCACACAGCCTCTGGAAGGTTGACATGGGTCCTCAGGTCTGTCTCATTCCTTCCTTTTCCTATGATGGGAGAGTCTAGAGAAGGACAGATACAATCCCACTGACCTTGTAAACCTAATATTGGCCAAGTAGGCAGTGGATCAGTCATCCCTAGCCATGTGCCCTGTTGCAGACTCTCTTATCCAAGAACATAACAGGAGCCCTAGGCTGGAAAGGGACTCCTTGTCAGTGATGATAGCAATGGCACCCACAACAGTGCTGGTGTTAGTGACCATGAACTGTGAGGCTCTGTGCTACACATGCCCCTCATTCTGATTCACCAACTCACTCAGTTGCTCTTGAAGTAAAGAGATGTACCTGTTTTGGCAGTGCCAGAGATTAACAGGCCTGGCATGAGCTCACAGCACGCAGCCTCCCAAGCCAGCTCCTCAGTGCTCAGTAGGAAAATGGGACACAACCACCTAGTTTGATCTGGAGGGCAAGGCCAACACCAAGGGTCAGCATCAGCTCTTCAACATCCCAAAGGGCTACACATGGGTACAGGCAGCCCCTGGCCCTGGCTGAGTGAGAGGAGGGGCCCTCCTTGCTTGTCAGAGCAGTGGGTGCTGAAGGTAAGCTTGGTGGGGAAGACAAGACCATACATGGCCCAGAAGCAGACTCCACTCTGGTGAGGTTGACTTTAAACTGTGTGTGGCTACCCTCCCCACACCTCAGGGCATAGGACAGGCCTGGTGGGCAGGAACAGAAGCCATGGTCTTTGATGCTGTCTTCAGTCAGATGACTGTCCTTCATCATCTGTATCACTAGTGCTGTTCAGGGGACTCAAGAAATGGGGTGTTTACCTGCTAGGTGGAGAACAGAGGCTGGCAGGAGAGGCCTGAGAAAGGTGAAGCTCCTGACCCCTGTCAATGTGCATATTGCACCCTTGATCTGGCTAAGCTCCTTCCACCTGCTGCAGTTTATCAGCAGTGACCACTCCTGCATGCTGGAGTCATGTAATCCCCAGGACAGCTCTCAGGGATGTGCAGTGGCCAGGGGGCTCTGGATGCCCTGGATGAGCCAGACCTCTCTGGCAGCTTCAGTCTCTTCAAATATAAAGTGAAGACAAATGAGGAACCTTCCCCTTCACCTTCAGTCCTCCTGTGTAGAATAGCTGCTGCTGTCATCAGTAAACACTGTGGCAATGTGTTTGGGTGCTTTCTCCTGCTTTTACTATGGTAACTTTTCTTATTCTTTACAACCACCATACTGTTACCCTCTTTAGCAGCGGGGCATCTCGGGCAGCTGACTCACCTAGGGTCACACAGCTAGAAAGCAGTGGAGCACACTTCTCCACTCTCTCCTCTGACTTCCCTTTTCTCCAGTGTCCTTGAGGGTTTGACTTTGATGTTGGTGCCTCTCTAGAGGTTTTTTTTTTTCCCTTGTATGTTTGATTTTCTGGCGTGAGCTGGTACCCAGGCAGGGGCTTTCTCCTTGCCTCTTTAAGGGTCCTGGGGAAGTGGCCCACCTGGCAGATGTTTTGAGATACCAAGGGAATGATCAGTGTAAATTCTGTAACTCAGCAGATGTTTCAAGAGTCTTGTGACACCTCCGGGGTCAAGCTGCAGTTTTAGGGAAGGGCCGGGGTCTGCCCTGAAGGCCCCACTTTGGGATATTTGCTGAGCAAGGCACTGAGCTAAGCATTTGTGTAGCCCTGACTTTCCTCTCCTAAGTGAGTCCTGGCATTATCAGATTCACCAAGGAGACTGGGGCGAAGAGGGGCTAACCCACAGCATGGTCAGTAAGTACAAGAGCTGGAATATGAAGCCAGACATTTGTTCAAAACCCTGTGTTGACAAGGATGCTATGGGTAGGCTGCATGAAAGTCAGAGCAAAACTGGCCCTGTCTGGTCCATCACAGCACTGGAGCATCAGTGGTGGGGTTGGGCCAAGTGGTATGTGCTGCAGGCTGGAGGACGGTCCAAGTGGAAGCCCAGGTTGGTGGGAAAAGGGTCCAGGCCCCTTGTAAGTTTCTCACCAGCATCCTTGGGGTCCCCAGGCCCACCCACATACCTGTTCCAGCTTCAGCCTCTTCCAGAGCCACCTGGGCTATGAGAGCTATGGGTTTGGTGCTCATTCAGGACTCATTTTATGGGCAGGGCCCAGGCACACACCACAAGTGTCCCACAAGTGCTGCTTTTCAGTGATGTGCTGGGGGAGGCAGTGGGTAGAAATGGGCTAGAAGGCCCCTTATCCAGTTTTCCTGAGGGTCAGGGATCAGAGGGGAGTGAGTGTGCATTTGATGGGGGCTCCAGGTCCTTTCTACCTTCACTCTCCAATGCAGACACTGCTCTTGAATTCATTTGGCAGGGGAGAGATTGAGGCCCAGAGAAACTAAGTGGCTAGGTGGCAACACACCCCTTTATCCATCCAACATTCTGCACGCTGCTCAGACCTCTCAACGTCTTACAGTGGAGCAAGGGGGCCATGGAGAGGGCATGAGACAAACACATAAAACAGTGTGTCACACAGCAATACTAAGAGTGTCCATGAGAGCTAGAGCTAGTGTCCAACAAATGCCACATGCTGAGCACTGCAGTGCAAGAGTTTCACACAGACAAGCTCATTACTTCCGGTCACTGCCACAAAAAAAAAAAAAAAAAAAAAAAAAAAAACACGGCACAGGGCCACAGTGGTCACTAGTCAAGTCACACAGGCAGAGATTAAGAGGCTGCAGGGCCCAGGCACACCACAAATGTACCACAAGTGCTGCTTTTCAGTGATGTGCTCGGGGTGGCAGTGGGTAGAAATGGGCTAGAAGGCCCCTTATCCAGTTTTCCTGAGGGTCAGGGATCAGAGGAGAGTGAGGTGCATTTTTTGATGGGGGCCCCAGCTACTATCAAAAGCTTAGTCAGCAGCAGACATGTAGTCAGTCTTTGGAGAGCCATTGCATTGAGTTCAGCCTCCCTCCTGAGCCAGGTCCTGCCGTCTCCCAAGATGCCCTGGACTGAGGGCCCCTCAGAGCAACTCTTACAAAGCTTTCTCTTCTGCCCTCAGGGAGCCGGGAGGCTGCCTTCACCTATGCCATCATTGCTGCGGGTGTGGCCCACGCCATTACAGCTGCCTGCACCCAGGGCAATCTGAGTGACTGTGGCTGCGACAAGGAGAAGCAAGGCCAGTACCACCGGGACGAGGGCTGGAAGTGGGGTGGCTGCTCTGCCGACATCCGCTACGGCATCGGCTTCGCCAAGGTCTTTGTGGATGCCCGGGAAATCAAGCAGAATGCCCGGACTCTCATGAACTTACACAATAATGAGGCGGGCCGAAAGGTAGGCAGCAGGGAGGGTGCCTGTGGCGCTGGTGGGGGTGCTGCAGTGAGGTCTTCCGGTATGAGAATGGGGATGGGGTCTGGGAGATTCCAGCTCTGCCCTCAACTTCTTTTGGCTCCACTCTGGGGTCCCTTTTGCTGCTAGTCACATGTGTACCGCATGAAGTGGTTGGTTTCTGGAGAGGCTGAATACTGAATCGCCACAAAAACAAACTCCATGATGTTCAGTGAGGAGGGAAAGGGGTAGCTTCGTGAGCTCCTCTCCAAGCATCCAGAGTCAGCTGTATAAACTGACTGGAAGGAAGAGCTGAGGCAGTTCAGTCAGAAGTATCTGCTGTCAGAGCAGCTACCTGTCTCCCCATCACATCAACCAAGATCTGAATCTTGGGTTCTAGGCCCAGATTAGAAGAATGGGAAGGATGTCTCATGCTTCCAGCAGGGCTGGGAAAGTGGACTGGATGGTCCAGCCTGTGAGAAGAAGCAGGAACTGAAGGCTCAGAGTATAGGGCAAGGGGCCATGAGGTAGAGGCAGTGCTGGGTGGCAGGTCCTGCCATGAGGTAAAGGCAGCAGAGAGGCAAGTCCTGCCAATGTGAAGACCAGCCACGGCCATCCATTGAGATTCACAAAGATACCCATACAGGATGAATCCCAGAAGTATTGACTAGGCATCAGCAGCTTGACCAGGCACTGGGAGACAGGTCAGTGCTGCCTGGGTGAGCAGTATTCCTGACTGAGGGCTGAGGCAGGATGTGGTCCAGAAGGCCTGTGAAGGATGAGAGTGGGAAAGGGGTTTGTGCTCTGCTCTAGGAAGGACCCATGAGGCAGGATGAATAGAGAAGATTCGGACACAGAGGCATGGTGAAGTGGGGGTCTGGGCCACATCCACAGCTCAACTAAAGTCAGCTCATCACTGTCAGGTGGCTTCTGGGAGCAGGATAGCCAGACCCTCTGAGTTTAAGTGTCTGGGTTCTTTTTGTGTGAGTAATCACTTCTTTAAAACTGATCATAAAATAGGAAAAGAAAAGAACAAAGAAGTTTACCATAGTGGCCCAGACACATGCATCTGGTATTTGGCCTGGGTGACAATGGTGAAGTAGTATCTTGCTCTAGCAGAGTAGTCCCCCTGGGCCAGTATCCCCAGGAAGTGGTATCATTGGCACCATCCTTTTACATGTGAAGAAACTGAGGCACAGTCAGAGAAGTAATATGCTAAGGGTCCCGCAGCCACTAAGAAACGAAGGCAGAACTGATGCTGGACCTGTCTGGCCAGTGTTCAGCATTTTCTGCACACTGTGCATATGGCTGTGATATCTGAGAGGTGGCAGGGCCACCTGTGCTCAGTCAGGCTCTGCCATCAATTCCTGCATTGACAGGGCAGCCCACCTAGGACCTGGCCCACCATCCTCATTGCTCAGCCAGGTTAAGCATTGAGTCCAGGTTGCACACAGGTAGCATGCAGAGGAAGCCAGTTCGTGTGACTGGGGAGCTTGCATAGCATGGGAGGAGACAGGCTCTTATCCAGGATGAGAGGGGCTACCCCTTTTCTGCATCCCTCCCCCACCAAAGGCCTCCCAGCAGCCTTGGTGAGTGACAAGGACCTGATCTGCCTCAGAACAATGTTCAGGTATCAGGAGGCCGAGAGGTCTAGTCCCACAGCCAGGCCAGGAGCTCCTGTCCAGATGGGGCACCCTGCAGCGTTCTCAGCTGCTCCTTCCTCACCATTGCTGCAGTCAGCCCATCAGGGGAGGTCAAAAGCCACAGGTTCCCTCCTCTCTGAAGCTCTCACTCCATAGAGACCTGTAAGAAGCAGCAATTTCCCTCTCCCACCACCTGTTTCCCACCCTACCTGCCTATTTGGGCCAAGGTGAGAGGTAAAGTGAGCGCCTAGCCTGTGGATCATTGTAAGTCAGGCTGGCAGCTTGGGTAGAAGAGGGTTTCATAAGCTGTGTAGTTGGTTTTAGGCACAAGATTTGTGGCCGCTGCTCACCTGTGTTGGCCTGAGTCTGTGGGCACTCCAGTCATAGGAAAACCTCAGTGAGCTTCCTGGAGGAGGTAAGTCCAAGAGATGGCTGGGTTTAACTAAGCAAATAGTGAAGAACACAGGTGTGGATGTCAGAGGCAGGGAACAAAGGTCCTGTAGCAGAGGACCCAAGGCCCATGTGTGGTGCAGGTGGGCTGGACTCTGGGTCCCCAAGGGGGTCACCAGATTTGCCAGCTCTTCCTGCTCTAGTTTCTCCTTGTTCAAGTTGCAGCCATGAAGTCCCCTCTTAGAGAAACTTCCTTCTGGTTCTTTCCTCACCTCTTCTGGGGTAATGCTTTGTTCTACAGCCTTCTCACTCAGGACAGTCTCCAGGTATCTCTGTAACAGCTGCACTCCAGACCCTAGAGATGTGGCATACTACACATGTACACATGGATAGATCAGGGCCAAGCCTACAGTGACTGGGGGGCCACTGATGGCTCCAGAGCAGGGAGGAGCAGAGGCCATGAAAAGAGGATGTGGAGAGAGCAAGGCCCGGGAAAGCACTGGGTACAGGTGTAGCACAGGTCGGGGCTGCCTGAGGTTTGGGGAGTCCAGCAGGAGGGATACTCCCCACTTGCTGGCAAGGGCCCTTGGGGTGGTTTTCCACAAAAGCAGTTTATCCGGGAGTATGCATTTTCCTGTTTGAGAGATAGTTGGGAACTCCACAAGGCTTACGGGGAAAAGCTGGAGCAACCACCAGCCTGGCCTCTGTAAACAAAGGCCCAGGGAAAGCAGGAGCCACACAGTTGAGCCAAAGCACAAGAAGTGATCCCCTAACCTGACTCCAGGCAGCCTGTCCCTCTCTGCAGTCCACGAGGCACATACACAGATTGCCTGGGCAGAAGCAAGGTGAACTGCTAGCTTCTGTAGGATCCAGATCCTCTTGTGATGAGTTTCCCCATCTGTCAACTGGGACAATGACTCTGGCTTAGGTCTGGATCACATAGGGTACCAATAACTGTAATGCATATCCCCCCACACCCAGGACTCCTCAGCACACACGAGGCTTTGGGGTACCACAGCGCTGGTGGGGAAAGGCACTGGCCCATAGCAGCTGAGGCAAAACATCTTGGGAAGGATCGCAGTCCTGTTGATCACTTGCTGCCTCACTTCTACTGCATAAATAAGACTCAACCTGACGACAGGCTCTGAGCCTTGTCAACAGTTGATATAAGAGAAAAGGGGTACAGGGAGTCAGAAGGGCCACATGTGCCTTCTTCAGGCCACTGAAGAGCTGTGCCAGATCTGCAAGGGACATCCACTGCCCACCCTGCAAAGGGGAGCTAATGTGAGGTATGAGGCAGATTACAGTGTGACAAAGCCAGGCCATGGTGGGCCAGTGTGCCTCGGCCTCTACCATGGTGGGGGAAGGGGAAGGGGACAGTCACAGAAAGGCGGGTCAGAAGACTACAGGCACTCCTGGAGAAGGTGGTTGGAAGTGGCATCTCCCATGTTAGCATTTCTGAATTGAAGCCACAGGCCACTTTGAAGTTCAGGGTTGAATACTAGGCTCACTAGCTTCACAAATCCAGAAGGAAGTTTGAATCATGGGACATTAGAGGCATCCAAAACTTTGTGCTGAAATCTCTTATGGCAGCTTTTGCAGCTTTGTGGTATCAGGGAGATGAATTTGTCTGTGGTTCCTTAAGACAGTCTAATGAGTCAGATAAATGAGCAAATGTTGCCTCGCAGCTGTACATAGCAGGAGAAATGTGATTCAGAAAACTTACAGGAGCAGCATGGTTTCCTACAGGGGACCTATAAAGACAGCTAAGAGGAAGAAAGGGATCTTTTAGCTGGACCTTGAAGGATAAGTAGGAGTATTCCAGGTAGATGAGGTGGCGGAAGGAAGAGGACAGTCAACACAAGCAGGCAGTAGCTCTGTGGTAGAGTGTCTGCATTCATAACACCTGGGCTTAATGCCCAGCATTAAAAAAAGGTGATGGAGTTGGGGGGAGCATGAAGTCCTACAAAAGCAGTGGGGGATTCTCCTTGTGTCTGAGATTGAGTGACAGGTGATGAGACTACTGAGGAGGTTGGCGTCAAACAGAAGGCCTTAAATGCCAGGCTGAGGCCTAGGACTTACTTCTACTGCAAGGTGTGGCTGGAAGCAACTTGGTGAAGGGAGCTTTGGGTAGTTTCCTGGCCTTTACTGGGGCAGAGTGGAGAGCAGTGAATGGCTCCTAAGGCAGTGGGTGCTGAAAACCAGTGGGGACTCAGGTGTAGGGCAGTTGTTTGGGAGGCATAAAAAGCAGGACCCCTTCAGGTTGTGTTTGTGGGGGTTGTCCCTCACTGAGTGAGAGATGGGGCAGACTAGTGTTAAAGAATACCCTGAGGGTGCTTCTGAACACGGGAGTGGGTGTACAGCGGGCTGCAGATAGGGACACCTAGGGTTCTGGCATCTGACCTTAACTTTGGTAGCCACCAGTAGGTGGGGGCAACAGGAACTGGTAAGAAGGACAGGCCTCTGAGGGGTGCAGGAAAGAAAGGAGAAGGCAGAAGGACTGTGGGGAGGGAGGAGCCAGTGACAGGGAGGTAACCAGAACTGGGAGAACCTGGGCCTCAGCATACACTGGATACTACACAGGAAATACCCCCGTGGCCCTGCTCTGTGGTGGCTTCTGCTATCTCCCAGCCTGGGAACAGCATCACCAAGCCCCCACAGTGACACTGTACCTGCCTGCTGACTATGGAGGCCTTGCTGTACCCTGAGTGTGAAGTGTGCCAGGGAGCTCTAGGGGCCTAGGGAAACCATCAGCAGCCCCTGTCTGAGTGTAAGGATTGAGACCTAGAAAGGCAGCCTGAGGAAGGGGCCCAGCTGGGATGGGCTGGCCCTGCTGGAATGTGCCTTGCTCCAGGGAGGTGAGCTAAGGGGGATGGAATTCCACCTGAGCATAAAGTCACCTCTTGCTCACCACCGAGGGGTGTTGGTCTTGTCCCTTCCTGCCCTGCCCTGTCTGGTCTGGGTGCTCCTGGA